GCACGACTACGCTGTCGGTTCGGCTCAGTACAGGTAATGTTCAACTTGCCTGCAAGCCGAGGGAGAAGCTGGTGCTCACAAAGAGTGGGGACCACTCTGTCGGCAGATGGCTGGAGGCCAATCTGAAAGCGGTCGACAGGAAGCTCACCCCGTGGTTGGTGGTGGGGTGGCATCGGTACAATCCACCCTCCCTTTCTGGCTCTGGGTTCGACGCTGACCTGAGACCTTCGCCTAGGCCTTGGTACAACTCCAACTGGGTACACCAAGGCGAAGCCGAGCAGATGCGAGTGGCGATGGAAGGTGCGGTAAAGCTTCTTTAGACGGCCATCCACCAGCCTGGCCTGACATTTACGTTGTTTTGCGTTCATCTGGCCAGAGTTGTTGTACGAGCACAAGGTGGACCTGTGCGTCACTGGCCATGTCCATGCCTACGAGCGGTCGCACCCGGTGTACAAGCAGGAGATCTCTCCCGATGGCCCAGTCCACATCACCATCGGCACAGGCAAGCTCACCTCCTTTTCTGCTTGATCCCACCGAGCTTACCCCGTGTGTGTGTGGCTGTGGCTGTGGCTGTGGTCACAGGCGGAACGCCGGAGGGTTTGGTCAGTTCGTGGATGGGGCGGCCTACTTGGTGCGTCTTCTTCGAGCAAAGTCATTGCACATCACACAACCGCTGAACTGGAGGGGTGGCTCGCAAACGGCAGGTCGGTTGTGCGAGATGCCAGCGACTGGGGTTTCGGGCGACTGCAAACGTTCAACGCGACCCACGCCCAATGGGACTTCTTCCACAACGACGAAACGATCGCCGACTCCTTCATGCTCGTGCGCCAACGGCACTCAGCGCACTGAGTGTATATAAGATACAAAAGGTACAGCTACGAGGCATGTAACAGTCGGAGTGGCGTACACGGACTGATGCATCATGTGTAGCATTTACCGTGGCAGGAATCGCAAGGGGCGCGGTAGTGCAGGCTGCCGAGCTCCTCCGGACCAAATATACCCCACCCGCCTGCGTTCCATGAGCGCGGTCAAGGGGGTCAGTCACCACCGCACACCCGACCCGCATGTGACGGGGCTCGCAGAGGAAAATATACCTTTGCCCTTGCATTTTCTACAAGGGGCCAGCTCGTCGGTCGGTAACACGCAGTTGCCTTCGCACGTGGGACACGGGAACTTGTACAGCAATTCCAGCACATCACATACGCCCAACGATCCTATGCCCCCCTTGGTGGGCCACCAGAAACCGCCGTCATCAGCACGAGTGGTGCGCAACTCTGCCATGAGCAAGACGGAGAAGGTGAGGTGCGTACCAGGCCTCCACACTTGGGGCAGTCGTAGTGCTTAAAGGGGAGCGACTTGTCGCCCTTGCACGCAGGACATGGCCGCTTGTAGTGCATATCAAAGCGGTCGCAGGCGCCGAAGGTCCCCCAGCCTCCCTCGCCCCTGCACTTCATACAGGTGTGCCTGGATGGAGATCACCGATCGAGCACACCACGTCAGAGCCGCACAAGCCACGAGGAAGAAAATGCGAAATGTACGAAGTCGTGCTGGTGCTCGGCGGATAGGGAGGCAGGTGGTAGAGGGGAGGTTGTTGCTGTTGATGGCCATGTTGAGCCGAGGGCTGCGGATGCTGGTGCGCCGTGTATTGATCGGGGCGACCTTGTTCGGCGGGAGGCCCCGAGTGAGGCTGGTGGTGGGCTGGTGATGGGTGTTGCGGCTGCTCGTGGCGGTAAGCTGGAGGTGGTTGATAATATTGAGCGGTGGGAGGCGGGTAAGGCCGCTGGGGTTCAGCGGGAGGCCCGAGTGAGGCTGGTGGTGGGCTGGTGGTGGCTGATGCGGCTGCTCGTGGTAAGCTGGTGGTGGTTGATAGTGTTGATGATATTGAGCGGCGGGAGGCTGGTAATACTGCTGGTGAAGAGGTGGTTGCTGGTATTGGTATCCACCTTGGGGCGGCTGTTGCTGCTGCGGCTGTTGCTGTTGCTGCTGCTGGAACTGATGGTGGGCTGATGGTTGGTGATGGCTGTAGTTGGATGGATGCGGAGGCTGCTGCGACCCCGGAGGCGAAGGCAACTGTTGGTACTGGCTCGTGGGCTGGTGATAATGAGCCGGAGGTGGGAGATAGGCGTGTTCAGCGCTGTGCGGCTGGTTCTGGGGCTGGTTCTGGTTCTGGGGCTGCTGATGGTGGCCGTAGTGGGCCTGTGGTTGGTGGGTCGGAGAGTGTGGAGGAATGGGCAGCGACTGGCAGTGGTCGATAACCGGGCGGCGACTTGTGGGCGGCTGCAGGCTGTAGCCCAGGACGGGAATCACGTCCCAGCACTCGTACGTCTCCACCGCGATGCGATTGGCCAGCACCTCGTAGTTCGGCTCGGCGCACACGTACTTGCCGTGGTGCGACCGGAATGCCACAAGCGAGCCGTGAGACTCAATGAGAAAGTACTCCCACACCACGGGCCGATCTCTATCGGCCACAAGCCTGCCCGAAGGCTGCCATGGGAGAGCCAAGGTGAGTCGAAGGAAAGAATAAAATAATCAAATAAAAATAAACCATAAATAAATAAAAAAATAGAAAGCGGAGGGTTAGGGTACCTCGGCACAGAGGTACTTGCCGTGCGCGGACATGAGGGTGACGCGCTGGTTGGTGCGGGTCATGTACCAGGTTTCCCCTTCCTTGGGTTCCTCCTTGTCGGCCACGACGCGCCCCGAAGGTTCCGCGCTGAGGAAGAGCCCGTGGCTCGACAGCAGGAACACCACACTCTCTGCCCCCCCCCCAAACAACATGAGACATGGGTCCGGGCAGCTCAATTTCTAACTGGGACGCAGGCACGAACCGGATGGGATGTACGGGGACCCAGGGCCGGCAGAGAGAGACACCCCACCAGCCGCTGCGCCACGGCCGAAGTCCATCTTGTGGTGTAGTGTTGTGCTCGTGCCGGAGTCTTGTGTAACAAAATGTACCGAACACAACACCCGGTTGGTCAGTGGGTCTGGTCGTAGTCGGCCTCGAATTCGCTGACGCTGTAGGTCGCGGTCCGGTCGTGGAGTCGCGGTACCGTGGCGTCGGGGAGGGCGCGCAGGAAGAAGGGAGAGGAGATGCGCCCGAGCGAGCCACACGGGCCTTGGCTCGGCCGCAACACGACCTTGTGCCGTGCGGCGGGGAAGTAGGAGGCCGTTGCGTGGTCCATGGTCTCCCCACAGAACACAAGGAGGTGGAAGCCGTTTCGTGTAGCGTCGGCTCGTTGCGGTGCGTACACCTCCTCCACGGGTATCCATCGCGCGTCGTGACCGAGCGCTCCCGCCTGCCAGATGTGCAGACCAGGCACGCGTGAAATGGGCACCAGTGTCAGCAGGCCGAAGTCTTTGTGATCCTCAAACACCTCCTCGCTGTTCGTGTCGCCTTCGCTGGGCTCCGCATCAGAAAATGGAGCGCGTTGCTGAACTGCGCGATCGTAGTGGACGAAGCGCAGCAACGACGCCGATGGCCCTCCTGCCACAATCAAACTCATGGTTAGCGAGGACTCCACACAGGCATTGGGGATGTAGCGCCGACCTGTCACCAGGTCCATAAGGTTCGTGGTCTCGCCGGGTACAGGTTCTGTCTGCCAGTGGTGTTGTAGGATCTGCAGCAATGCCAGCCCTGCAGGGCAATATAGTGAACCAACGCTCAGCAGGTGGCACTGGCCATTGTGCCATGTTGTTGCCGAACGCACCAGTCGAATGGAAGAAGTCGAACCCGTTCATCAACACGGCCAGCTCGGCACACGACACACCTCCGCCATGCTCCCCTCTGCGCAGCTACGACAAAATAAGGAAATAACAAGTGTACAAAGATTTTTTAAAAAAAGGGAAGCACCTGTAGGAGCTCGTAATCGTAGAGACGGACGTAGCCAGGGGGCTCGTGCCCGCTTGAGCGAGCGGACACTTGTGCAGCTTCCTTGTCCTGCGCTGCGCGGGAGAAGAAGCGCCTCGCTGCAGCTTCCAATCCGCCGACCTTGTGGGCCTCAGCCCACAAAAGGCAGAAGCCGTCGGTGTGCAGGCGGTGACAAAAGTCCTTTCGCTTTGTCGCCGAGGTAGTGCCGAGCAGTGCGCCCAGAGGGAGAGGCTCCATTTTGCTCTTTTCGTTTCGTTTGAGCAGTTTGAAATATCGGATTAGTCGCCCAAAAGTTGCGGAATGTGGTTAGCGGAAAGGTGGGAAATGCGAAAAAATAAATATTCGATTGCCGCCAGCAAACGCACACGATCAATTGATAAGAAGAGAGTACGAGGAAAAGAAGGGGAGTAGGCAAGAGGCAGAAGGAACAAGAGAGCAGATCCGCGAAAAAGAGATTGAGCGAAACGTGTCTGGAACTCCACGGCAACAGCACCCGAGATGAGCCAAATCAAGGAGGAGATCGAGCGGTGGTTGAAGAATCATCCGCAAACACCCTTTACTTTGAATGGAAAAGACGAGTCAGGTGGCTACGATTTCACCCTCGAGCCCAACGTGCTTTCATGGAAGCTCTACGTAGACGACGAGACCGGCAAGCCTGTGGTACGCCTGCTCGTGCCGTCAGGTTCCTTAGTTGCACGTCAGTAGCCTTATGGTCGCTCTGGTCGTGCAGCAAATCTTGTGCGAGACCGACAACCCCGACCTGCAGACGTGGGCCATGCTCCTGAACATGCACATCGCCGACAACCCGCAGCGGGGCGTCACCGATCTCCTCGGGCGTGCTGAAGGTGCGCTCGAACCGAAGTACAGGCCCAACGCCACAGCGAACGCACCCGCCAATGGCGCAGAGAAGGCAACGACGGGGGAGGTGGTGGAGGAACAGAAAGGTGCCAATCCCGACGACATGGAGCAAGAAGGAGAAGAAAAGAAGTCTGAAGGAGGTGCCAAGGTGGTGAAGAGCGACATATCGCGCTGGAAGAAAGACAACGCGCTCGACATCAATCTCAACCTGCTGGCTGTGCATGAGGACAAGCTGCAGGCTGAAGCCACCATCGGACCGGAGTACTACCCGTTCCAGATCCACTTCAACGCCGAGTGGAAGCCCATGGTAAGTGTTGTACAAAGTCTCTTGTCCTGGTATCTGCTTTCTGACTTCGCTTCTGCGCGCAGTTCATCCTCTCGGATGCGTCGGAGATGCAGGCGTACGTGACCTCGGTGAACGAGCTCCTCGACCAACGAGCCAAGGACGACCCAATGACGGTTGCCGATATGCTCGACATGCTTGCGCTCGAGTTCACGTCTGCCACGCGGGTAAGTTCCTTCAACTTGTCCTTGTTGCAGTTGAGCTTCCGCCCCGCGCAGGATCATCTTTACTTACGTGCTGCCTTGCCCAGAGTGCACGAACGTCCTCTCCCTCCTTCCCCACGATGATCACTCCGTACGATCGCCTCAAGACGAGGAGAGAGGAGGCGGAGAACAAAGCCCCGCAGAAGGACCCCACGCTTCTGGATTGGGAGGAAGTCATCATTCCCGAGCTTCGGCGCTTCCTCTACCGCACCAACGCTGCCCACTACGAAATCGAGGAGTGGGTGCGACGCGTGCGAGCGCAGATGATGCTCGGCAACGAGAAGGCGCTCCTTTTCGTGGCGAAGGAGATCCTGGGCGGCAATCGACCGTCCAGCAAGATCCTCCCCTACTTCCCGCTGCACTTACGCGAGAGGAATTACAGTCTCTACCGCCAGAGCGAGCCTCAAGAGGCTGGTTTGCTGACGTCCGAGGTACATCCACAGCCGTCCTTACACCAAACATTCGGTTCGGACTTATGGGCTGACAGAACGCTATATTTGTATCACAGGGAACAAACGAAGCCACCGAAAAGCTCAGGGAAGAGTGGGAGATGATGAAGATGCTCAATGAGCAGAACTCTCAGTTCACTGCTGGCCCATCTGCCAATGATCTCTACCACTGGTTCGTACCACCAACCCTCTCGGTACCATGGCACACATGAGGATGCTGATGACTGTGACGCAGGAACATTCGCTTGAAGAACTTTGACTATGACAGCGACCTGGGTCAAGATCTGACCGAGTACACTCTCATGGTTGACCCCATGGCAGTCTCCACTGCTGAGTCCGGAGACGTACGAGTCCAGCAGGCCGAGATCCTCATCGAGATGAAGTTCCCGCCTAACTACCCCGAAACCGCTCCCCAGTTCCGGCTTGTCCGGCCCGGCCTCCGCATGCTTGTACGTTGTTCCTCCGCCTCAGGTGAGGAAGCGGTGTCACTGATCTATATTTCGTCTCTTTCGTAGAAACCGATCTCCAGCCTCAACGTGGGTCACGGCATATCGGTCGAGGACTCCGTACCGTGTCCTGATGGGGAAGTGGCCGAGGCCGCATCCAGCTCTCCGACAAGCATCACTCCTTCCAGCGACAGTATGGATGAAGTCAATCCGCTTTCTTTCTCCATGCAAATCGAAGATGCGAGTACGGCTTCCCTCTAGACGCTCAACCTAGCTCAAATACTTGACTGACCGGTACCTTGCAGGCAAGAAGGGATGGAACCCCAACATGTCGGTCTTTGACATGATCATAGCGATTCGGGAGGCACTCGTCAAGTCTGGCGCCCGGGTGGACATGACCACGGCCACCGCTGGCTACGGTCTGCCCACTGTTAACTCCTTCTGGCGGAAGTACACGGCTCGGTCGCCTGCCTCCTTCAACAGGCCCGAGGTCGAGCAAGGCGGCAAGATCATTCTGCCGGTCTCTGCCATCGAGGAGCTTACACGAGAGCTTGACACTCAATCCGACAGCTTGGGCTTCGAGGGGTACCCTTCCAACTTGAGTCACCTGTTTCGCCTTCACTGTGGCGCTCACTCAAGCGTCTGCAGTGGCCCTGCCTATCTGAGGCAAAGCGACAGCCAAAAGAAGGAGAGCACCATCATCTTCGAGGTCACTGGAGCGGAGAAGAGACGACTCTTCTGTGGCGTACTCGAGTTCACCGCCGAGCCCGGTCAGGTCTGCCTGCCCAAGTGGGTGATGGACCAACTTGGCATCGCCGAGGGGCAGTCGGCCCAGCTGCGAAGGGTCAACCTCCCGAAGGGGACAGACGTCAAGGTTCAGGTAGGATACACCACCCACCTAATGCTACTTTCTTGCTTCCCTCCTCTTTTGCCACGTGCTAATTGTATCCTTTATCAACTTAGCCCCATTCGGCCGAGTTCCACAACAGCCAAGACAACCCGAAGGCCATGCTGGAGTGGGTCCTACCCGACTATGTCGCCTTGACGGGTACGCCAATCGAACAGCTGCGCCAACTGCGTCTTCGGTCTTACTGACTCCTTTGTGGGCGACTTTTGTTAGCTGGCGAGACGCTCGTTTTGACGTACAACGACAAGAAGTACTCCTTGGAGATTCTCGAGGTGGCTCCCGGCAGAGCTGTGTCTCTCATCGATACCAACATCAACCTCGACTTTGCGCCTCCCCTCATTGGCGAGATCAAGCCAATAGCATCTACCACCACCACTCCCGCCGAGGAAGAGAAGAAGGAGGCTCAGGTACCTAAGTTCGCCCTCTGCCGGCACACTCTTGTACTAACATTCATTTGGCTTCAGCCCGGAGCAACGGTGGGAGACCTGGACGTCACCGACCTGAAGGAAGGCGTGGATTACAAGGTCTGCGGGAACTGTCTTAAGGCGGTGTCGGCACAAAGCTTCGCCATGCACGAGGCCCGGTGCGCGAGGATCAACTGGCGTTGCGACAAGTGTGGTGCTGTGGTCCCGACCGCACAGAGGCAGGAACATCTTCAAACCGCGCACGCACCGACCAAATGCGACCAATGCGAGGAAGAGGTACGACAGTTAGAAACACACACAAGCTTTAACAGTCTCTGATTGTCCGACGCGCTGCGTTCCCTTAGGTCGAAGCATATCTTCTCGCGAAGCACAAGGAAGAAGAGTGCAAGCAAAGGCTGGTATCTTGCGAGTATTGCGAGCTCAAGATGCCGTACATATCCGTCTTCCAGCATCAAATGAAGTGCGGCGAGATCACCGAGGTGTGCCCTGAATGCAAGCAGCGCGTCCGAAGGAAGGGTACTACACTGGCCTTTCCTTGTGGTAATTAATTACTCCCTGCCACACTTGCTCACTCCTAGTCTCTCCTTTCGTTATCACTCAGACTTGGTGGCGCACCCTACTGTCTGTCCTGCTCTGAACCGTCCTGCGCCTGTACCTGTTAGCTCCGCCTTCAATCTCGGCTCATATGCCATGCGGCGGAGCCCCTCCGTCTTCGTGTGCCAGAAGTGCTCCACTGGCTGCGATTCTATCGATGACCTCCAGGTGTCGTCCGCCGCTTGCACTGCTGTTCTTCTGCCTCGCCTTGCTCACCCTTTTCCCCGCTCGCTTGCAGGTGCACATGTTGACGGTGCATCACGGAGAACCGGAGGCGGACAATATGCTGGAGGAGACGCAGTCTCAGACGGAGAAGCCCGTAGACGTCATCGAACCACCGCGCGACCTCAAGAAATGCTCTGCCAGCAATTGCGACAAGTACGAAACGGACCAGGTCAAGTTCAAGCTCTGCGCTCCCTGTAAGGACGTGGGCAAGAAGGTGCCCTACTGCAGCAGGTCAGTCCTCACCCTTCTCTTCCCCTTGTTGAGTACTATTTTTATTATTTCTGGCTCAACCCCTCTTGTGTGGCGTGTCGCAGATCGTGCCAGGCTTACGACTGGACGCAGGGCCACGTGAGCGTGTGTGGCAAGCCCGAGGAACAGCTAACGCCACCAGCAGAAACGGAGGCGGCACGCAACGGCGACAGCGCGGCGATGGACTTGGAAAAGGAACAGAGCCAGAGCTGAAGCTGAGGCGACAAGACATGCGGTGTTCTTCGCCACACGGAGGAAAAGGAGCATTTTCTTCTTTTTTTCTGTGTACACGGGCATTTTCTTCTTTTTCAAGAAGGCTGTGTTTTATCCTATTTTGGTACCAACACGTAACGCCTAACGGAGAACCAGGGTTCAAAAAGCCTAACGCTTAGGGAACGAACAACTCCCATCTGCAGAGAAGACCTCTTGCAGTACGCTTCCTCGTGTACGTACAGCCTCGGCTCTCTGTTGATGTTCTTGCTTAGCCCCAATCTTTACACCCAGAATGAGCACACCAGCACCTCCGAATGTGCGCTTGCGGCCTGCGGTGGGAAGACCGCTCCCCCCGGGGCGTCCGTTGCCCTCCCTTCCTCCCCCACTGTATCCTACGTCACCTGCGCTGCTGGGCTCATCGCTGGACCTCTCTACCGCCTTCCGAGGAAAAGGCATCGGCCACAATCCGATGTCTGCGAGCGTCCCCCACACTGCCCACTCTCCGCTCCTCAGGAGCCGGGACTCCGCCCCCTTACTTGGTTCCTTCGAGAACGAGCAATAGCCCCAGCAACCTCAGGAACAGCAACGGCAACAACAGCTCTTCCCCAGAACCTCTCACCAGCCCTCGCCTCTATCACTTGGGCTCTCCTCTGCCTCAACAAGTCGGAGTGTCGCCTCCCGTGCCAAGAGGTTTGCCCCCCGCCTTGCCGCCGCCCTTATCGGCCAACGAGGAGGTCGCCCTGCGCCAGGAGTTCTTTGGGCACCCGGACCGCTCACGGAGGAGACTCAGCGGGTTAATGGGGAAACTCCAGACGAAAGACGTACGCCCCAGCCCCGCTCTTGTTGTCATACTCATGCGGGTAGCTCATCACAATGTGCCTCCACCGCCACCACTCGTAATGATAGGCCGGGCAAGTGAAGATAAACCCCTCCTTTGAGGAGAGCGACGTGGTTCTCACGAGCTACCTCTACAAGAAGAAGCTGAAAAAGAGCGCTCTGGCCTCTTCTGCCTGGAAGTACCGCTTCTGTGTACTCAGGAACAGCGGGCGACTATTCTACTACCCAAACCCAGCGGTACGGGTTGGACCGCTTTGGCTCAGTAGAAGTCCAAAACACTGACCCCATGCCCAATCAGTCCACCACACCGCTGGGCTTCATGGACACCTACGCCGTCCAGGTGATCAACGACACTGGAGATGAGAAGATTGCATGCTGGGATATAGTCGGTAAGCTTGCCGACGCCAGCCTGTGTGTTATGGGGGCTCATCATTCTGTGTCGTTCGTGGCTTTGCAGGTCCGGGCATTGGGTATAGGTTTGCCAGCGATACGTTGGCCCTGAAGGAACAGTGGATTGCGGCCTTCCGGAGCTTCGCGCCTACATCGCGACAGTCGGTCAACCCTAGCTCGAACCTGCCGTCGGCGACCACATCTGGGGCGGTGGACCTGCGAGCCGAAGGGATGAACGAGCTCGTCAGCACAGAGAAGGCGTACCTACAGAACCTCTACTCTACTATCGAGGTTCGAGACCTCCCCACCTTCACCAACCTGCTGACGCTAACGGGCGGCAACCCTTCTTGCTCATCATTCCTCAGCTGTACAAGAACAGCGAGGACCTCACGGACATGGTGGGTCTGGCCGAGACGTACGTCCTCTTCGCAAACATTGAAATCCTCAGCCAAGTCAATCGGCTCCTGTTGGCGATGGTGCGGACCAACACACCTCTTTGGCGAACATGCTCACCACGGTGCGCGTTGTGTTCAGCTGGAGAAGGAGCACAAGCTGCCACCAGAACAGAACGTGGGCCGAGTGTTCCTA